CTATATATATACACACACACACACACACACACACACACACATATATATATATATATATATATATATATATATATATATATACTTGTTTGATTATTAAGCAGATACAATATTTTATGCATAGATATTTGTGATTATGAGTTTTTTTTCATCCTTAGTTATATTTTTAGACTCTTTATTATTATTTACAACTATGCAGACATGTATTTATTTAACTCTTCATTTAACACACAATTTAATGTCACAACTATTCGTTAAATAACTATTTTTTAATTTTAAAAATATTCATCAAACTTTAAATCTCTAAAATTAATTTAATTTTTAATACTTTAATTAAAATATCTATAAAATAATTATATATTAATATATGAACTTTGTAGTCGCACATATACGAGTATGAATATTTTTTAAATTTTTTATTATATTTTATTTTATAATAATATATAAAATATTATAAATTATTAGTAAAATAAATATTTAAAATATCATAAATATATTTTGTAACATCCCAATTTTTTAAAAAATTATTAAAAATATGTTTTAATTAATCAAATGAGCTTTATAAAAAATGTAGATACTTTAAAAATAATTATGAGTGTTTTTATTAATAAAAAAATATTTGTGAAGTTATTTTGTTATAGAAGGTTTAAAGAAAATATATGTTTTAATTAATTATGTAACTAAATGTATTTTGAAAAATATGTGTTTATATTATAGTTGTTCTATATATTTTATTTTACTTACAATTGGTTTGGCAAAAATATATTTATTTATATATTATTTATTAATAAATTTTAATATTTTAAGGGAAGGGAAACACAACCATGGTTTAATTGTGTTATTAGAGGGTTAAATGCAGGTTGGGAGTTCTATGAAGGGGTTATGTAAATTTTATTTTCATGCTTCTCATTTCTCTTTATGTTTTCGTGCCAAAGATTGTTGAAGATTTGCATTTTATTCATCAAGATGAGGGAGTGAATAGTCTCGCTTTGAGTGTGGAATAACTTTTGGATAGTGAGATTAACACTCAATTTCTTATATGTTCTTGTATGTCGTGAGGGAGGAATCTCAATTTTGTTTTGTAATCTATGAATTTGTATTTTGTACTCTTCTTTTATGTGTTATATATGATGTTTGAATTATATGTATAGTTAATTTTATGTAATTTAAATTGTTTGAGAATCTGTGAGCCCTGTATTTTTTGTAAGAAATCCTTAATTTATAAAACAAAGTGAAGATTGATGTTAATTACATGAATATGTGAAATTGATGATGAATTTGAGTAATTGATGGTATAATATAGCAATATTAAGCTTTAATCGTGATTTTTACCTATTGGCTTGAAATTTTAGGGTTTTGGGTTCATATTGTGCAATTTTTGCACAATCTATAGGTTCCTCATGAATTGGTATCACACTGAGCATCAAATAAGTCATGTTGAGCGCCATTTGATGTTGTTCTTGTGTATTTTCGTGCAGGGCGTGACCTCAGCCACGCCAAAAGTAGGTGTTTGTAGAGAGGGTATTGTCTTCTTTGTACTAGGCATGAAAAATGTCGTGGCGAACATGATAATGCCAGAATCAGGTTTTGTGGTCTTCATAAGAATTGTAGACCTAGCTGATAACTTTTATAGTGCCATTGGAATCACTTAAAAAGAAGGTGTATAACTTAAGTTATAATCAAATTAGTGAATAAAAGCTAAACTGTCAAATTTAGGCTTAACTAATCAATTTTGATCAATTTGGTTTGGATCAAATTTACAAATATTTTTTTCCTACAATCCAAACAAAGCCAAACTGGGCAACATCATGTTGATTTTATTTTAATCGATGGACATGATCCACATAATGTGCCAAAGTTAATAATCAAGGATTAATCTGTACAGGTTAAACATGGCTTTCGCTAGTCAAACATTATTTTAACATATACGAGAATCGAACCTGAGAGCACCAATTATTTCGGAACATATCTTACAATCATTGAGTTAAGATACTTGATTAAAAATAGGTTGATTTAGTTTAGATTAATCAAATTTCTTTAAAAAAATATTTGGTACATTTCTATTTTTTTAAACCTAAAAAAATTATTCAT